TATACAGGGTCCTTTGCCAAAGCACACACAGTGCCTTTGTCTCCTTTCATGGGCTTGGAAAAGCAGCTTTTCCTTCCAGGAGTACAGAGAAAGTGAGAAGGGTAGTCCATGTAGCTGTTGTTTCTCTGGTGGGTTTGAGCAAGACAGAATATTGGCAAACTGTAAAATCCATCTGGAGTGGCCCCAGTCCAGAGCTAAATAGACCAAAACTGATGCATGGTATTCCCCTATTTCAGAGCAAAAACTACTTCCAAGCCAAATTTACTTTACTGCCTTAAGTTACATGTGACTTTCACTTTTGCATCATCAGAGATGATTGGTAAGAATACTGCTTCAAATGTCTTCACCAAGATGAGGGACTTACAGTAATAAATGTGTTAAGACTGAGAATAGAATCAGTGAGTATGCTTGACATAGAATCTGTTAGAATATTCTTACCATATGTGCATAAACCATGTTGTACCTCTCTGCTTCCTGCACAATCTGTCTTCAGATCTTCATATCCACTATCTCCTTAGAATGTAACTTCTTTTGCCTGCTAGAGCTTCCATCTGCAGCAAAATGCCATTTTAATCAGTAGAATCAAAACATTACATTATGGCATTATTCCAAGCTGTCTAACCTTAACCAAATAAGAAATAACAAATAAGAATTTTGGTGATGATCTTACAAAGTTTTTGCGTTTAAAAGGACTTCAGAATTGAGTAACAAAAGAAAGTAGAAATAGAAAGTTACTAACTATGCATTGGAAAAGTGAATGCAGTAAAAACTTTACAGGTAGCTCATGACTTGGCCTTTAACATTATTGCATGCTCTTATTTTTTCTTATTGCACATGTATGTTACCGAATTTGCTCTGTTTTTCAGTTGTACAATTTTGGAGAAACTGTTTCCATAGTGTTCTGGACAGATACATGGAAGCCAGAGAGCTTCTTTGACAAGATTGAGAAGAACAGGCAGAATGGAATGCACACCCTATGCTTACTAGGTGAGCAGCAGCCACTCTCCTGCCTTTTAATCTATGTATTGAGTGTTTACCCAACTGACTAGATAACTAGATAAGCCAATGTGGCATTAAAAAGGTTAGTGCTGATAAACTTTTGAACTGAAAGTGACTTCATGGATGTAGAAGCAAGTTGGTAAACTGGGCACTAGAGTTGTGGGGTTTTGCATTTTACCCCCTTTCATCTGAGTCACTTTGGTTTAGAAGTTGATTCTGTAACAATTAGTACTTGTTCAAGGTTAAAAATGTATCCAGCTTTCTCTATGACAGTTTGTGGGGAGGAGGACTGTTTGAGTGAAAGCAATACTTGGATTCCTCTTGGAAAGATTATGTTCAATTTGTTTAATAAAATTGCAGCTCTGCAGAGTCTTATTTACCAGACCCCTCCTCTATTTCAGTTTTGCCCAAATACTTTTTTTTTCCCATAACAGAAGCTTGTTCTAAATTTTGATTGGGACAGGAAGGAAGTGCTAATGAAAGTCAGGTTCCTGCATGGCAGTGATGTAATCGCTGTCGAGCAGTCAGACTGCTTTACATTCTGTGACATAATGTGCTTATAATTTAAGAGTAGTCCCAATGAACTGGTGTGCTCAAATGTGCTAGTATTTAACTATCTGATGGTAAATATGCCTATTTGTATATTTACCAGGATTTTTATTTGTCTTTGTTGCTCTGAAATCTGTGAAATTTGCCCTGTTGGGTAAAATCACATGCATAAAGTCACAGGATTTTGATATTAACTAACAGATGAAACAGTACAGTATGATCCATATTCTAATAGCTAAATTTAATAATAATATTAATAATAGCTAAAATGTTGTTAAAGCTTCACCTACATAGAAAACCAAGTAGGAAACTTGTAGGAAAGCTGTGTTTTAATGTGTTTTGTTCTACAGATATTAAAGTGAAGGAGCAGTCTCTGGAGAATCTCATTAAGTGAGTCCCCATTTTGAAAATACATCGAAACACACAGTGCCCCTACAAAGGTTTTTCTGTACAAGGAACAAAGGTTCTTTGCCCATAGTTTAATACTGAACTTACCTGCCCTCTTCTCTCGTGCTTCTTTGTGGCCCCTGTCTTTTGTTTCTTACAAGGAGTGAAACTCTTTTGTTCCTTGCAATAGGGTCTGGCTTTATTTATAGTAACTGAATGGAATTGCAGCAGAACATGATCTTTTTTGTAACTGTTCCTGTGAGAAGCACTAAGTCAGAAAGAGATAGACTTTCCTCTTGGTGGATGAAGTGTTAGTTCTCTACTGTTCTGTCACCTCCTGAAACATTAATATCTGAAACAGTGTTCTAATTTCAATCTTTGTACACTGGCTGGAACAGTACAAAGTGCAGAACACAAAGCACCCTTCTTAAAGAGTTAAATAAGCAACATACAGAAAATGCTCTTATGCTCGTTTAACTGTATTCAAAAAGCTTTTGCCACATCTTACTCATCTCTGCAATCTGTATGTTTTCACAGTGGTGAATATAAATGGCTTCTCTATAAACATGCTGTAACTGGTCTAAATTAACATTTTTGAAGTCTCACAGTATCATTGAGGTTTGTTTATTCTGGAGTTTCAAAATAAAATCTGTTTGACTGAATCCACAGTTGGCAAGGAAAGCACCATTTCATTAAGGCATATATTTCTAGTCTGTAATCATCTGTCTACAGGGCATTTAACAGAAAAACAGTTGTATGCCCTTGGATTTAAGTCTAATGCATCCTTCAAGAGTAGCTGCAAAACCTGCATCTTGCTTCTAGCAGCTGAATTTGCTTTTGGGATCTAAATGATCTGGCAGCTGGAGCCCATCTGTTTCACTGGTGTGGTGAGAGCACAACAGATTTCTGTATTCTTTAAAACTTCCACTCTTGTCTAAAAGATCCAGCCTGAGAGCCTGGGCCTGTTTAAGTTCAACCTGCTGGTCTAGAGGTCTCTTGAAATAAGCTGTAAGATTGCTCAGGATAGCAAAATTAGTTGTATGTAAAATTTCTCTGCTTTTCCTTCCCTGCAGAGGGAGAAAGATTTATGAGCCACCACGTTACATGAGTGTGAATCAAGCTGCAGAACAGCTTCTTGCCATTATTCAAAAGAGAAGGCTCCAAGGAGAAAAACCAGGTATGATTGGACTGCTTCTGTCTGCTACCACTCCTCTCCAGTCACACCCCTTGATGAGCCTCTGAACTCCACTCCCTTCCCCTGACTCCCAGAATTCTGCTCTGCAGTGGATTTGGGCTGCCTTAAATCCTGGTCATGAGATGGATTTAGCCAAGCTTGAGCCCAGCACAGTTCAGTGAGCATCAATGAAGGTGCCCTGGTGGCTCCTGGAGGTACAGTCAAAGCCTGGAAACCCTGTACCATTTCTATCCATGTGGAACTGTGAGCTCTTAGAGCCATTAGAGTTGCAGGAGGCAGAAAGATTCTGAGCATTTTAGATCAGTCAAGCTTAAAAAAAAAAATCTCAGCTCTGTTTTACTTAGATTGGTCACACTCTGCTCTATGTGAACACCTGCAGGAATCTAGCTAGGTTAACCCAAAGATGCAGAACTGTGATTTTCACCTTGAATTCTTAACACTTCGACAGCAAACTGTGAAATATTTATTGAAAGCAAGGGTAAAACCACAGCAGCTAATCAAGACGATGAAATTGTGTCACAGTTTTTTGCTAACGAATTCATTTAGGTCTACTCCTCATTTAGTTTATTCCTTCAATACTGTTAAAGCGAAAACCCCTTAATTTTATCCTTTACATCCTTTAGAAGGAATCAGAAGCAGCAGTTCCCTCAACTTGAACACAATTCCTGTGTGAATGAATTCTTCCCTATCAACATCCTTAAGCTTTATTTTCTTTGAAGAGCAAGTTTCTTTTCTAGGCCACTCCAATAATTTAATAATTGGAAGTTTAAGAAAGCAGTGTTAAGGTTTAAGCATTTTGAGTACTTTTTCCCTTATGATACGACCATTAGTCAATAAATTAAACATTTAATCTTCTTTCTTACAGAAATTACTGAAAACACAATTTGTGTTGGCCTTGCTCGTGTGGGTGCTCTAGATGAGAAGATTGCTTCAGGCACTCTACAGCAGATGTCCACTGTGGAATTGGGTGCTCCACTACATTCCTTAATTGTTACAGGCACTATGCATCCTCTGGAATTGGAAATGCTTAAACTGTTCTCTGTAGATAGTTCCAGTTTTGAAAATAATGCATGTCAAAGGACTACTTAAATAAAAACAAGGATTTACATTTTTATTCCATCTTTAATTGCATAACAGCATAAAGATATCGCTATGACTATTTAAGACTTGTCTAACTGTAGTTAGAATCTATATTGCTTCAGAGGACAACACTGCAGGAACATGGACCTGCTTTTACCTGAGGCTGCAAACTGCACCTGCTGGTATCAGCTTCTACCCTGCAGACACCTCCAGAAACTTCTAAACCTTTAATTCAGATCATTGACATCCACACCAGTCTTGGGCTGCTGACTAGGATAAGAAGAGTACCAGGTATCTGTGTGGCATCACTTGCTGTAGTGCATTTACCAAACCTACTGCATACATTGTTCTAAGTGCATTAGATATCAAATTTTGCCTTTCAACTTTGCAGAAACTTAGGAGTTCTCTTACCAATAGAAAACATTAGTGTGCAAAACCTGTTAGATCTGTTTCCATCTTTGCCTTGGGAGAGTAAATACAGGCAGGTGAAAATGCTCTAAGCCAAAGAAAACCAGGAACTTTCCCTTTGGATAGCTGGTGAAAGAGTGGGAGAAGCTGCACAGAATTTCTTAGCTCAGAAGACTGCAACTTAAAACAGAATTGGATTTCTTCATATGTAAAAGCATTTATGAAGGGTTAGACTCAACTGCAGCAACCACAATTAACCTCAAGCCAAGTCTCAGCAAACAAACTGCAAGAATTCTCTTTAAAGTCAGCTTGTAGATTATGGTGATTGTTATTTCAACTATTCTTCACAGTATGATGAAAACAAAGCAGACCTGTACGCATATTTTTCTTAAACTGAAGATTTATTGGAAAGAAATTTGATCCCATATCTTTTCAGCAATATAGGATATTTAACATTTTATATAGACTGTATTCAAGTAGAAAAGATTACATTAAAAATTTCTTAATATTGCACTTGGGACAAGCCGTGGCTAAGCTACTAACATTAGCATTCCAGAACAAAATCATACATAGTCTTCAGAATTTTAGTGAGCTGCCTTGTGTTACCTGCTAGATTCCTTCACAGGTACTTTGACACACTTTGCTATTGAACTGAAGCTCACTGCTCAGAGTAATTCCTGTAATTTAAAGGTAAAGGCAAGCAATATGCTGTATACTACCAGGAATTATTTTGGCAATTGCTTCATTCACATTATTTCACACTTCAGCCAAGATACTGTAGTGATTCACTTGACTCTTGTACAAGATCCCAGCACACATGTGAGAGGCTCCAATGCACACGGGAAGTGAAATACCCAGCTCTTTTAACACATTATTTCAGCCAAATTACCACACAGGCAGGAACCTTTTGTGGCTCACTGAAACAGACAAGTAGGTTGAGCAGTATTTGCACACAGCAAGACTCAATCTTCGCATGCCAGGCCCAGCATGGCTGGCATTGCTTCACATTATAGCAGTGTCTGGCCAAGGAAGTCCCCACAGGGATGGGCATTGCAACAAAGCCTGAATAGGGGACAAATCCAAAAGGGAACCTCAGCAATCTGCAGATAAGGATTTTCACAGAAGTGTAAAGGAGGAATTAACTACTGAGTCTGTATTGAGGATCAGAGAGATTATTTAAAGAAAAAAAAATCCTGTTTAAAGGAATGTGATAATCAAGAATCATAGCAATCAAATGGCTGCTGGAGAAAACAGAATAGGGTTTAATTATTAACTGAAATTGTTGCTCTGAACTGGTATTTAAAGACTTGTGTCATGAAGAAAGATAAGAGTTTGCATTTTATAAAAGCATGCAACTGAAAATCTGCACTGTGAAAGAAAAGTATGGTCTTTACAGTAATTTGTTCGCACACTATGTGCAGAAGATGGAAAACTGCAGTTCAGCAGCAGATTCTCTCCTCTTGTATCTTGTTTACATTCCCAGAACAGGTTCACATACAACAGTTAAAAAGAGAAACTATTAATTTTCCTTCACCTTTAAACCCAGCTTTACATCTTAAAAAAAAAAGTAAATCAAGAATGTTAAGTCACTAAGGTCCATTTTATTAGTAGTAGCAGCTTCAATTTTTGTGTAAAACTAGTGTCAGCAGTTTTTACTAATGATGCAACTGAACTTTTGCTTTAGTAGGCATTATTACATAAAAAGCAAAGTTGTTTATTTACTTTTCATCTTAGCTTAGCAAATCAAACGAGTAACTCAGCTCTCTGTAGGGGCCCTCCTGATGGAAGGAGCCAGTCTATCCAGAGCTGTACACTTACCAGATTAGCCTATAAAGGACCAGTCCTTTCCGTGCATATTCATAAAAGGAGTTTTCTTCCACTGTTATGTAGCCCAAAAAACACTGAGGCATTTTAATACAGACACCCTGTAACATTTGTTTTATCTTCTTATTTTGCTGTAGGTGTGGTAAAATTCATGCAGTTTGTAGGCTTGGTCTTTGGAACAATAGGGTTTTAAGTTACAAGTCTCAATCACAAAAAAAAAAAACCAAAAAAAAACCCCACAAACACGGACCAGTAACCTAAACCCACAGTAAATATCAGTTACATGGAAACATGAGAAAACCACACTTTGAAAACTTGATTCAAAATTCAGAAGTGGATCCCAGTAAGCCGAGTTTTAGCACATGATCTGCAGACATTCACCCATCTCTGGATGTCAGCCATTCACACAAGTCTTTGTTTAAATCCTGCCTTGCATCTCCAATAAAGTGTCGATAGCAAAGTGTTAGGTAAGCAGCCACTGTTAAGTAATTAGCAAAACACAAATAATGGTGCTTTGGCTCTCAGGGTAAGGAAAGCTGCACTTTTGCTTTCAACTGCATGGTTTGTACTCATCTAAAACCTGAGCAAGTATCCCCTTAGGTGAAAAAAATATCAGATGTCCCTTGTTTACTGACATACTACATGTGACTGCAATAACTGACTGAACATGTCCTACACTGTGTTTTTGTGATGTTTATCCTTTTTCAGAAGGCCTTTAAAGGCTATGAATCTGACTTCCCTACACTATCCCCAATTACATTTGACAAACAAATGATACCTTTCTTACTATAAATGTTTAAACATAATGAAGTGCTGTCTTGCTTGGCTAGAAAACTCAAGACTTGTATATATGCTTGCAACAATCAGTTAAATCATAATAAGCAAAAACAATTACCAAAAGTTATTAAAATTGTTGTGTGATTGTACACAGGCTTAGAGACTTTTTCACTCCATTTCCCATATTAAAAATTTGGTAGATGTACATTTAAAAGAACACCATCACCACCATCAAACAGCCACTCTGCCAAGGTTTTCACTTGGAAACAAGTAGTAGCAGTTGTCTTTTCATTCAGAAGCTAAAATAGTGGCCAAGCTCAGCAACTTGGGCAGCACTACAGCATTTCAACTAGTCCAGGAACAGTCAGTCCTGAAACATGCTGGTGTAAAGATGACTTAAACCAAAGCCTGCTCTTGGATCACAACACAGTTGCAATGAATCTCTCTGCTGCTTGCCTTTAAAGTGATATCAGTTGATCTTCTTTAGCCCCAAATAGCAGTAATAATAACTCATAAAAAATGAGGAAGTCCTGCTGGCAGCCAGCAAGCAGCAGTCTATAGGCACCACTGTACAGACCAGTACCTCCACCCTATAATCACAAGGGATTTTCATCGCCTTCTCTGAACATACATGCACATAGTATCCTAAACTGCAGCGCTCCAATCTGCTCAGCAGATTCCTGCACCCACCCTGTGCCGTGTAACTTCCATCTTCCAGTCAGGAACTCTGGGCCTGGCACAGCATCTGCCAGGTGGGACGGAGAGAGCCTGACAGAGTGCCACACCAGGAAAGAGATGTAGAACATGCAGCCTGCTGGGAGGGCACTCTGCACCTGTGTCCCCAGGGAAAGCAAACAGGATGAGAAATGGCAATGGAAGGATCTCAAAACTGGAAGAGACAGCAAAGATTAAAACCAATATTATAGGTAGCTTTGTACTGCCATTTTTTTTAAACCCAGTTTCCAGTTCCAAGCACAAGTGTACACCCCCAAGATCTGGACAAAATCAACATTCATGTTTCAATATCTCAACTGGAAAATTCAGGAACCACCATCAAATTTGGCAAGTGTTGTGGTTTCACATAAAAAGAAATCAGGAGTTATACAGGAACAATAGAATGAATGCGAGAAACTCTTCATATCTGTGATGGATTCAACAATATCAGTGGCAAACAAACCATTTCTGCAAATCAATCTTCAGTCATTTCATAGTGCCTAGCACTTACTACGCAGACATTTTAAACTTCTCAGGGCCTTGATTTTAGTATTACCTCTGACAGGTACCAATATAAACGTAAAATCCATACCAATCAGTGGCAGCTATGATTTCTCAGAAAAATGCCTGTATTGCTTTTTACTTCACCATGTTCTGTTTGTAAAAAGTCCTCTTAAAATGTATTCCATTATTAAGTGAACTACTACAGCATAGTGGAACTATCATCTGTAATACCAAACATAGCAGATTGCTTAAAGTGACACTCAGATATCTGAATAAAATTATTACAAATGCTAGTAAATACATGACAGAAGAATGTTTCTGGGAAAAAAAAAAACCCAATCTAACAACCCTTACTGCACTGAGAATCTTCTCCCCTATGAAAACATACAAGGCTGTAGTAAAATAGTCAAAGATTTGTCAGCCTGGGAAAAGCATAAGCTAAAACAGCATGAAAAGTGGTCCTTATTTCCATTTCAGGCATAAGTGCCAGAAACAACTATTTTCAATATTTGGAAAGGCAAAATTTGAACTTCATCACTTTAATAAAAATGATAGCCACCTATTAAAATCAAGGATACTTAACCTTTCACCAATTCAGGATTTAGTTTTTTTCCACCACATGATTTGGAAAATAAAAAACTTCAAGCATTGCTTCCATCAACAGCATTTTCCTTCAGCTGCCCATTGTTTAAGTGACTGAACATTAGCAACATCATGTAATCTCTCAATACTCTCAGCAGTATGAAGAGACTAAGAATTGGAGTTAAATCTAATATTTGAACTAAAATAATTTTCACAAGACGTGCAACAAAATACCCAGCTTGTCTCAGAAGCAAGTCTCTTCACAACAGCTTTGTCTTTTATATTTAGAATTTTCCTGTCTGGTAAGATGCAAATATAATGGAAGCCTAACATCTACAGTTATGCAAGTACACAACCCCCCGCATACATCGCTAGTAAGTAACCAGACTGCATACAAGATTATTTGTAAAAGTAGTAAAACCCTTTGATGCTCCATATTTATGCTGGCAAATAGCTCTCCTGATATAAAAGGCACTTTGAAAACCCAATATGGTTTGGTTCATTAAGTTTGCAAAGTACAAACAATTGTACAAACATACAATTATATTGAAGCATGTCAGCCATTGTGACATTGTCTACAAAACAAGTTTCCAATTGCCGATAACACTGGTTTTATGGGAATGAGCAGTGGTTTCAGCAGCTTTACTGAAGACATGACAGGGTTTCCAGTACCACAATCTTATTAAGTAAAAAACCCTCAAAAACGTACAAGTTTAGGGGCCCCAAAAAAAACCAAGACCCAAAGTCCATAACATTCATTCAATATTTACTCCTTAGAAGTGAACTTCCTCCGTAGCCCAAGGGCAGAAATCCATTCAGTCAATTCCAGACGTGGTGGAGGCAGGCTCTGTCTCAAGAAGTGTTGCTACACCAGTACAGTACTGAAAACTTTGGTCCAACAGCACCATTCCAGAAACTGATTACATGGCTGCAACATCAATCTGTATGTAAAGCTGCCTTACTCCCGCCTGTGGAAAAAGGAAGGAGGGTTAAAAACACTGTAAAGCCAAAGCAGTTGCCTGTCCTGAACATCAGCCCACATCAGTAAATGACCTAGCAAAAAACCTAAACAACTTATTTTTCTGTAATTCATCTCCACATTTAGCATATCACTCAGAGAACACCAGATGAGTAAGGAGTTCTTCACACAGTCAAGTGCACACACATAATGATGTACTAACATTAGCTTTGCTGCATTACCTCTTCTGATTCATCCTAAATGACTGCCACATGTGACGCTGCACAAAAGCAACTCTTACTTTCTTTTGTGCCAGTTTATCTTCCTGCAAAGCAAGCTGCTTCAAGAACTGTCAGTTTAAAACAGAGCTAAGCACAAGAGTGTAACATGGGACTTGTTCAAACCAGTTCTACATTATGAATCTACCCAGAAAGCCATCACATGTGCAAGCTGACAATGCAGTGAAAAGCCTGAGTAGGTCTGGTCTGTGGTGAGAAACTCTATCCTAAGAGAAGCCTCATCTGTTTTCTTAGTTCCCTACAGGTCAATATAGATCAACCCCATTTGATACACCTGAGACAATTACATCTGTTATTCCTATAAAGAGGCATGAAAAACTAATGCAGAGAGGTACACTAATTCCATCTACACAACTGAGTATTTTGAAATTGTTCTATACAGCTGGAGCAGGGAGGCTTTTCAAAACAGATACCAAACTCAGAAATATTTAACCTTTCTTGGTAAAAATTACAATGTCACATCAAGCAATTTACACTTTGAGATGTGACGTCCACTGATAAGACATACCTGAGTAAAAATATTGTGAGTCTGGCTTAGAATCCACCTTCCATCAGCATCAGGAGCTACTAGTAACTTCAAAGTCCCTATGTAAACATCAGTACAGAGGGTCCAGAAATGTGGATCATGTAAACTGTAGACACCTTGCAACTGCTGCACCTAAAAATAGAGGCAAATTTTAGAAAGTGTATGTCAAAAAATATTTTCCTGTACAATGGTTTTTTACAGAAAGTATTGTAAAATCCAATGCGTTCTTTTACTTAAGAGTTCCCTGTGCATTTTGTCATCTTTTACCAAAATTTTTCATTACTATCTCAGTTATTGTAAGGAAGTTGAAATATATGGATTTGTGTCCAGGTCGCGATTTTCTGTATGTGCTGTGATTCTGTTCCCTGCTGCATTTACACTCTACATACATTTTACTGAAACAATTTCTAAAAATAGAGGTGGTCAGGAGAGAAAAGTCTGGATTTGAGATGTCATCCAGTTAAAACTGCTCTTTTTGCAAATGTGCTTATTTTGCCATGAAACAATTTGTGAGATTCTAAGTTTAACAGAAATATAGTCATATATCATTTACAATTTTGTGAGGTCTTAGATGTGTCCTGCCAATCCTTTTGTTGTTTCCTCTTTCCACTTTCAGCAAACCCTCCACGTGATGATTACAGTCTGTAACTCCCAAGGAAAGGCAGCATTCATTCAAGTGCTCAAGTGCTTTGTATTAACTTTGCAAAGGCACTTCATGGCATACCAATAGGAAAGTTAAGTAGGAGAACAGGTCAAATCCAGAGTAATCTTTGTATTCTTATAAATACACTTCCAATGTTATGTATAAGCACAAAGTACTTTGGGAGGAATAGCTTCAGAATCTATTTCTGAACTAACATAGGAAATTTTTAAAACACAAACTGAGGTGAAGCTACATGCAATTTAGTACTCTAGGACACTTAATTAATTTGGTACCTCCATTTGTATATTCTATTTGTATATTTGGTACCTTTGACTGGCAAAACATCATAAAATCATTCCTTTTACTGGAAAAACATCATAAAATATCCTCATACACAGCTGAGGCTCAGTCAGTCAGCAGCTTGATCAGACAGAGCAAAACAGCTTAAGAGCTCACCCTCTGGTAGCACTGAGGCAGGGCATTTTCCAGGGAAGGAGGAGTTCGCTGCATCAAAATCCCAATGGACTCTTTTAAAAGTGGAACAATACTAGAAAGAAAAAAGGAAATTAGTTATCATTACATTTTCAAAAGGTGCAAGGAATAACCTCTAGTTCTTCCAGCAGAAGCTGAGAAAGTCGCCGTGAAAACCCAGTACAGAAAATAAAAGGATTGACAGAATTACCAAAGGCAAGATTATTTCTCCCCCACAGTTTCCAGAGTCAACTGGTGGTCAGTCACAAAAGATTAATGGTTTAATCATGGGATTTTAGATGAAATCTCTTGGTGTCTAGGAAGCTATACAACAAAGCAGCTGTATAGTTCAAAACCAACTTCAATGGCAAATCATTCACAAGCAACCATAAAAATACTCAACTGAAATCGGGTTTGCTTTTGTGTTTGGTTTAAGGCATATTTTTCTTATGAACTAAGATAATAATGGGGTAATCATAAAACAAAATTAGTGTGGAACAGTCCAGCTACAACAGAGTTATTTTGTCAGAAACAGACAACTTGGCATATTCTTGAAGTAAACTAAGTGTAGGGTCTCATCCAAGCTCAAGGGTTAAACATTTGGAAGCAATTAGAGGTTCCCTCCTGGCCAAATGGTCTTGTTTAATCAGCAAACTAAGAAGACATTTAATACCCTTTTTTATTATTATTACTTTTTGTTTTTTAATAAAACCAGGAGAGCAGTAAGCCTATACCCTGAAGCTATGACTAATACATTATACTCTTAGTAAGTATTCAGCATGGTGATTTTTTTGTTTAGGAGTAGTGCATCATGTCTGGTTCAGTAGAGCATTCTAAAATTTTCAAGTGGATGACAAATATCTGTAGCCCAAGAGTAAAGCTTAAATAGCAATTTAATTTCAAGAGCGTGCAAGTCACCTAACATTCTGGACTGAAAGTGATTATATATTGCAGAAACTGTAAGCTTCATTTCAGAGTTCAGCACTGGCATCACAGCTGCACATCCCATGGAGTTATGGGATCAAAAGCACACCTGAAACATTTGTAATATATTAACTGGACCAGTTGTTAAAGGACACTCCAGAACCTTTGTTTAAAATCTCCTGAAGTGATGTGGAATGCATGGCACAGACCAGCTCTGTATTTGCAGATGTGAACAGATGACCAAATAATTTTCTTAAAAGTGTTTCCATTTGAACCTGGGGCAGTGCTGGCTGATGGACTGCTCAGCTCACTCCCTGGCTAAACCTGGCCAGGGTGGGAGGGAGTGAGAGGCTGTGTGACTCTCGTCTAATGAACCCCTGGAAAAGCCACTACCCTAAAATTAAGTCTTCTTGCAGGCAGAATGGTTGTTCCAGCCAAATTCACTGCCCGGTGCCCTCCAGCACATGGCCTCCCACGTTTGCACTGCCACCAAGGCATCAGTTCAGAAATAGGAAGAAGCAATTAGGGGCAAGCAGGAGTTGCCTAAACTAGACCTGTCACCAAGACAAACATTTAGCAATGCAATAACTGTCAATCTGTCTCAAGGAAGCTTAATTGGAGTGTCACATTCTACAGTGGATTACAGAAGTTTAGGGAAAAAAAGTTCTCTTATTAATGGACCCATCTCAGTAAATAATGTCCATGTCACAAGCATTACATCAAAGGGAGCTGGAGCTGCCAACACACTCCACTGATGAATTGATTTCAGTTTAACTCCCTATTTAAAATGCAGATTTGCTTAATAAAAACCTTGAAAGACCAACACACAAGTTCAGGATGCAAAGTGAATGCAAGAATTTTGAACACTGTTCCATTCCCATAAATTTAACAAGGCCTCTCTAGCATATGCATCCAAAGGTTTCAAAAACCACACACATACAGGCTGCATATTTTTTCCCAGGGAAACAACTAAAGGAATAGTGAATGTAATAGTCTGCCTTTTAATTGAAACCTACCACCAAGAGTGAGAATAGCCATGAAAAAAAGCTAACAAAAATGTCTAATTTGTACAACTTATTTACATTAATAAAACTGATGTACATTATCTGATGGAAGAGTAATTGTAAAGTAGATTTGAAAAGGCTATGAAACAAGAACATCTTACAAGCCCAAAGAATAGAGTAAATCAGGATGTGGCTTGATGTTGGTGAAAGTTGAAGCATATCCCGGGTCACACCTTCTTCCTGTATCTTAGAGCCAGTGTTCAGATACAAAATTTATCTTTTGCAAAGCTGAAAAGCCAAAAGACAGCTGCAGTGATGTGACAGGCCCTCACAAATGCTGTTCAGAGCAAAGGTGTCCAGGGATGCCCCTCTGCATCCAAAGAGATACTAGCTCACATGGTATCTTACTGTAAGCCAAACTAACACAAGCAACAGAATCCAGTTTTATGAAGCCTGATGTTTTCCATTGTTTCATGCATATCACTGAAGTACAAAACCTTTAATTTAAAAACGAAAACTCCACAGAGTATGCTCTTTTCTCAAACATTAACTAAAACCAGTATTACTTAATCACTAAGAGGCCCCAGAAATATCAGTTCCACTTCATGTGACTGAAGAAAACATAAGGGATGACAAAACCAAGCTGGCTGAAAATATGGTTAGAGATTTTGACCAAGCTTTCTCTTTTCTTTGGCTTAGTCATTAATGAATAAAAAAAAAAGTTGCTGCCTCCACAGCAACTATTGCACTGGTGCTTCCCCACTTGCTTGTTTTAATTTACAAGATTATTGAGGAAAACAATGCTGAATTCTCACCAAGTGAAAAGCCTTCTCATGCATTAGCAGTCAGTAAGCTTTGCTATTAAAGCAGGCATAATTCCATTGCTTTCTGATTACCAAGCCTTAAATGTAAAATATCACACTCTTTTACAGGACAATAAAATTTCAAAGAGGAAATAACTCGCAGCAAGATTTGGAATAAAAACATATGCTCTGCAAAAGCCAGAAAAGCAAAGGCAGTTATTGTAACAGCACATCATACTTGCACATACACTCTTACAGAAGTGAAAAGTTTTCAAACAAATCAAAATGAAGTATTGACTTGAATCTGATAAATCAAGCCTACCACTACTATACATGGATTGATTAAAAATGAAGAGTGAAAGCATTAGACTCTTATTTAACCTGCATCCCATTCAGATAATACTCATGCCCATTCCAGTGCCATCCTGTTTATGCCACTGTTTCTGTAGGCACAGCAAGCAAGACCCTGGCATTTTCATGACCTTGGACTGTGAAACGGAAAACAACTCCAGGTAAAGAGCCCTTTAGACAGACACCGGACTTGGAGCACAGCAGGAAATTCATTCAGTGCTCTCAGCACTACAGAAAATAGGGGGTATTTGTGACAGGTTTTGTGGAAAGTAAACAAACATTGCTAAGGATCAAGACCAGCTAGGGTTTGTCAAATACCACAGCTCAAAATCTACAGCCACTTTTCCGAATTCTGGGGGTTTTTTTCGCAGCCATCGTCCATATCCACAGTGTGAAGACTGTTGGCCTGTTTCAGAACTTCAATGATTTTTTTTTTATTAGGCAATGGCAATTTTAATCAGACTGCAAGCTTTGCTCAAGACAAGGACCACAGGTTTAACATTTGCTTTACAGATTTTGAATTCTTTGTTCTCATAACAATGTAGTACCTTGATTTTCAAGCAAGGGTGGCAGGTACCATCACCCTGTAAATATAGGTAGTGCTTGACATTTAGCAATAACAGCTTAAAATAACACCAACAACAAACATGCTAGTTTGGAGGAGTTTTGCTATAGAAAATTCCTTCTGAATCCTAAGGAACGCAGCACTTCATTTAAAAATAAGTAATTTTTTTTAATATACTGCTGTGCCCTAAACATGAAAGGCCTCAAGCACACCCTCCCCCAAAGCACTTTCATATTATATCATGTTCAAGCAGCTCAGGATTTTATGCAAAAATTATGTAACCCATAGAAACAACTTCACTAAATGACTGAAGTAAATTGCCTCATTTCTTTGACCACTTAATATACAGTCTGCCTGCTCTGTGCAATCTAGTATCAGATTTAGTCTATTGTGCCTTTCTAGAAACATGTGGGTCTAATAGTGGTTTAGGACAAACTTGATTTATACCAGAGTTGTGGCTTTTGCGTGGTGACTAGTTTCACATAGCTGACTGAAATACTAAAATTGCTTCAACATTTCAAAGTAAGGCTTAGAATACTAATGTTAAAAAGGAAATGATTATTTAGTTTGAAATATTAACAGCAGTTCAGAGACTTGGGAAACTGTTTATTGATTCAAGGCATGTGTAACTATGTGGACAACACTTTGGAAAAAACTTAAACAGTGTCAGCCTAAACTACAATTCAAGCTTTTGTTAAAAATATTTTAAATGCTGGTTAAACAGACTTCTTTATTTTAAGCATGTGCTATTTATGCTTTACTTGCATGAGATAGTACAGAGTAATCAAAGAAAGAATCATCAGATATTAGTGGTTGCATCCAGGAAAATTCAGATCCACACAGGATTTTCACCGTGCAGTCAGAATGTTCTGTGCTAACTCATGAGGAGTTAGGCAGAGAATGTCAGCCTAGAGCACCCTTAGCAAAGAATCACAGGAGCAACAGAGCAACTGTGTCAGCAGCTGACAATTTGCACTAATTAGAGATGTCTACAAGAAGGCTCAACCATTTGATTTAAAAGCACTGCCTGACTTCTCTGACGAAGCATTGCTTAACCCTTCTACACATGCACAAGGCAAAACAGGTTATCAAGAGGAGTCTGCACAGCTTTACACTGCACCAGTGAGATTTTTAGTCATCTTATACTGGTATTTTTGTGATTTCTTTGGAAAATGTGGCCATCATTTAAGAAACCTGAACAGAGAAGACCCACTAATAAGAGCAGGCAAGGCTCAAAGAAACCAGAGAGAGCTGCCCAACACTGAAGCAGGCAAACACTCAATATAAAACAAATGAATAATGAAGTTATTTCACACAGACACAAGCAATCCTGGATTAAGAGCAATCATTTTCCTCTGCATTCTCATGCAATAGCTTTGATATTCTACTGGTTCACCAGACATAGTTCCATAAAAGGCAATCAGGATTTCTGCTCAGCCTTTACTCTTTTGTATACAAAAGTATCATATAAAGAATACAGATTAAAAAAATGAAAACAAAACTCCAAACAGAACCAAACTACAACACATTAAAAAAAAAACAAAACCCCACAACAAGAAAGCACCCTAACAAAATAACAGAGAAATAGAAGTCCTGGATCTAACCTACCCCACACTCATACCATGCAGACTCTCTGAGTCAAACTCGGACCATTAAGCAGGTTTAACTTGGAGGATACAGCTCCAATTAGGGCAAAGTTCCTGAACACCATTAAAGCTTTTGAATGACTTTTGAAAACTTTATCAGACTGGCTGTTGCATCTCTGGCTCAAAACTATGCTTCTTTTATTACAGCCACAAAGATCCTATTACAGAACATCCTGATTTTTAAACACACATGAATGGGATCTGCTTGCTGGGGCACACACATACTCTCCACTTTACCTTACCAAAGCTGGTTTAACAGTAAAGGGGACACAAAATCGACAAACATTCATTTGAAACGGAAGACAATAATTTAACCTGAAGCCAAATTTACCCCAAATATTATTTATCAAGGTTTCAAAATGACCCACAGAAATCAACAGCAACTCCTGTACTGGAAACTGAACATCCCAGTCCTTCCCACCTCAAACCCACAAGTACCCCAAGAGGAGACCGACAATTAAAAAAAAACCCCAAACCCCAAATATCGCTCCCCCCCACCCCAAACTAGACACACTTTTAAATTTCACAGAACTTCAGTAGTTTTTTTTCCTCTGGGTTAGATTAAGGTGACTCTAAAAGATTAAGTACATAACTATTATATATCCCAGCAAGCATTACCTAAGCTCCCATAATACTGTTACAGAAGACCACCTTATGGGAAAATCTGAAAACCCTTTTGCACTAATTCTTACAGGACACTTCAAACACAGCATAGTGAAGAATAAGGCAAAATTAACAGTGGATTTATGACCAGAACTGTCAATGAAGATTACTAAAATCAAACACCACCACAAAAAGGGACTCAAGTTTTCAACAGCCATCTGAAACTGCCAGTAATCGTATTTATGATCCTCAAGTGCATTTCAAGCAAAAATATCAATAGTTCAGTCTGTTGGACTGCTTAGAAAACAAATAAAATATCAACACAAAACCACCCAACCCTGCAATTAGTATTTGCTCCACTGATGTGCCAGGATGTGTCAGAATGTGTCAGATGGCAAAAAATGCAGGCTTGCTTTTATCAGCTATGATGCAGCTGACACCACTGATAGCATAATTATTCTACTAATCATTTATAATATTGTGGACCAACAAAATAATGTTACAGGCTGAAGTCTGGCCTAAGATCAAGACACATCAAAGAGTGAACTTTTCCAGCATTTTCAGCATAGAACATGGGTCTCAAATGTTCCTTCTATCTGTGCTAGAAAACATATAACAGCATTATTATGACACCTCTGTTATGGAATGCAATTTCAACTACTGTATGAATGGAAGAAAAAAACTGAATTGTCATTCATGTGGTATTTTCTGCTGTACGCAAAGCTGGACCCTTAGAATACAAAGTGTATGGAAATCTTTTAATCAGCTATTACCTCTACCTCGGCAATCGTTTCTTCTCCCTTGGAAACTTGCACATTTTCTTTCCCATTTTTTTGAGATTTCAGTACTAGAAGTAGTTTATAATAATTTATCATTTATGAAATTACAGAATGTTGAAGTCAAAATCTCTGAAGCTCATATTAATGTGGTGATTTAATAGTGATTTCTAGCACAAACATTTCTGTGGGCGTTGTGTCTGAAGCCTGCTGCCCTACTTTGACTAACAGGGAGATTCACATCAATAATCCTGTGAATGCTGCCATGCACAAGCCATAAACATGCCATACATGGTATGAGCAGAAGTAGCTGCAGTTCATCAGATGACACTCACCACTGCTGAACAGACAAAGAAGTTGAGTTATTAGGTTGTAACTGGTGTTGTGGCACACTGCCCTATGGCACCATTGAAACTGCTGCCTAAAAAGTCTCATAACATCACTCAATGAAATATTTGCTTGACCAGTCTAATCCAAATAGCTTCACGTTCACAGTGAACTTAGTAAGAAACAACTGTGAAATACAGAAGTACGTGAAGCATTTCCATCAGATCTTAAAAGCAGTAAAGATATCTCAGAGTGCAAATGCAAAGTAAAAGACAGTTCTTGTCGATATAAGAAAACAAAATCAAAACCTAGCAGCCTTGATTTGTGAAGGACAAGAGCACATCCTGTGCCAGCAGTCTCAACCCTGCTGCCCTGAAACCATTCTGCTCCATTTACTGGAGTACATTGGTTTATATAAGCATGAACAGAGATGAAGCATGTACAGCCTGAACCTGAAAGACATTTTTCTAATATTATGCAAAGGAAAAAAATTTGCAGATTTAAGAGCGATAGTTGTAGCTGTAGAAAAAGAAAGAAAGATAGATCATGTAAGAGCTCACCAGAATGGCTGTACAGAAGGTAACATACCACTCTTGGAAGAAAAGCAAATGTTGTAAACCATTAGCATAACAAAACCCCTTCTCCTTCTGAGCTGATATTTCTGCTGTAACTAGCACCAAAAATCCTACCAAATACCAGTGATAGCAATACTTACCTTACACCTATAAGTAGTGCTATCAGCATTGAACAAATAGGATCTGCTATCATTAGACCATAGTTCTGCATCAGTATAGCAGATATGATTACACCAATACTTCCCAGTGTGTCTGCCACAATGTGCAGGAATACACCTGTAAGAGATCAAGTGATACCATTACAACTTGTTATTCTTAAAGCTAATGAAGCTTTTCAGAGATGTTTTACAAAAAGACCTTTCAAGAACTAGATAATACGATCTATACTTTTTAAATTTGCAGTCAGTTTTGGGTCAAACACACAAAGATTTTAATGTATTTGTAGAATATGAGCCAACTGAAGAATTTACATTCTGTTATGCACTTAGCAGTATTGGGCATTTCACAACAAGGCTATTAACTTGAACAGTGATTAACAGCTGCAGCTAGACTTTTTTCATTCAATACTCACCCTTATTATAGTACAGAAACTCATGTTCCCTGATGACTATAGTAGTGAGGTCTGTATAAGATGGACAGACTGTTAACAGAAACAGTTCTACAAAGCTTTGGCACGTGCTAATGTTTAATTGACACCTCCTCCTAGAAGTTATTTGGCAAAGAAATCCAAGACAAATAGTTTTGAGAATTAAACAATACTGCAGACATGAAAAGCCTTACTCTTATTCTGAAGAATAACACTTCCTTCAAGTACAAAGAAACACATACTTTGCAGCCAGTCAAAGTTTAGCCTTTGGAGCTCTCTGCTGGCAGTGACTGGAAGTCATTCAGAAACAGCTTTTTCGATGCAATTCTCCAGACAGGTAATCCCCTCTTGTAAACTCAACACACCATTATAAACCAGCTCTTTGGGGATTTCTCCAAGTCTGCATTTGTTCTGGCTGGCTGGGACAGTGCTGGGTTTCTCCACAGCAGCCTGCATCAGGGCCTTCTGTTTCTCTTGACCCCACAGCAGGGAGGCTGGGGTGGACAAGATGCCAGGAGGGCACATAGCCAGGCCAGCTGATCCAAATGGACCAGAGGGACACTTCATACCACCCAACACCATGCTCCCCAATAACACTAGTGTTGTCTTTCCCAAATAGCTGCTGCTCAGACTTCCCTAGGCACTGATCTGCTGGTGGGATGTGCTGGCTTGTAGAGTGATTGTCTTGATAGTGATTTTGCATCACTTGGTGGGGTTTTTCCCCCAGTACTGAAAAATTAAAATAAAATCAAGTCTTTTTAATATGCTTCAATTAAAATGACTGTTTCACAAAAAGACTTTGAAATATCTTCAACTGAAGTACTGAGCATACATAAGACACTGTACTGTAAATTCTGGAAGAACTTGTAAATGCTCCTTCTCAAGGACTACAAACAAGCCAGAAGATCATTCAATAAGAGAAAACCCTACATACATTTGGGTATGCCAAATAATTGCTACCTCCTACATCTCATAACTATCTCCCTTGAACTTCTGAACATTTAAAAAAAGAAAAATAAAGAAGGACAGCAGCCAACCAACACTCAAAATCAACATCTAAATTATCCATAACTAATGCTCAGGAGATCAAGGACTCCAATACCACTTCAAGAAATTTAGATGCATTACCATCTGCTCTAAATTAATTTTAAGAGCTTAATGAAATGCAAGTTTTAAGCTCAGGTACTCTTTAACAATTATATCAATCTGCATTATATCAATCTGCATCTTCATGTTACAGAACTTATATTGCAATTAGGCTCTTTAGGTTTCTCCTTTTAATTACTCTTCCTAGTTTTTCATTGATTTTTCAGCATCAATAACAGAAGCTGAATCCCAGCTTTTGGGATGTCTCTTTTAAACTGTGTTGGCAGTGCATTACATCTAAACTCTGTGAATGTCTCAATATCTAGCCATGTACAGGAGACAGCAGAGCTGCTTACAAGGGAAATGGAACTTCATTAAATACCTCCTTTAAGAAAAACATGGCATTTATCCAGAGGAACCCTCTGTAACAGACGTGTGACAGACCCAGGCAGGCAGACTGTGATAAAACCAATAAAACATCATACTTATTATTCTCATCGTACCTTGTAAAATCTGCTTGCTGGATCCACCCATTACTTCAAGGGAATGGTCATCTGTGAAAGCAATTATTGACACATTAACCTAGACAAAGGCTCTCTAGTGGCCCTTCTGTTACACTCTTCCTTTCAGAAATGTCTTGGACAGACAGGCTGCTCCCAATGACCAGCTTTTACTCAAGCTATTGTTTTTTAATGCAGCAGTTAAGTTAAAAGTCTAAAAATGCGTTTTTTAAAATACATCCCTTTACACAATAGATTTCAACATAGGGATATATAAAATTAATTATCTAAATTTGTTCTTAATTTAAACAAACTGAGAGGTAAGACCTTGCTAGTATGTAGCAAAATAAGACCCCTCAAAAACACAAACCATGAACTGAAGTGAGAAGAGTAGGTTCAAATAGATTTGCTAACCAGAAATAATAAGCAAGCATCTCACTTAAGCAAGCATTTAGAACTAAAGTAAAAATACAATGCTAAGACTTAGAGAAGGAACAAGTAAGTAAAAAATCTTCTCATCTAAGCAGATTAATGCCTCTGTAGCATTAATCTGAAAGATATTTTAAGAAGAACTTGTTAAAGGATAGTAAAGTGAAGATATACAATAATTTACAAAACAGCTGATTTGAATATCAAAATCCACAAGACAGACAGCTATATTCACTGGTCTGCAAGGGTGGGGGCCACGTGGAAGGCAAAGAAGAGGCAGAAGCAGGGAGCTCCTGCTTTCCAGCCAAATTCCAGGAGAACTACTGGAAGACATATGCCAATTTTCTAAGAATAGCAAGGAAGGGACAATATTTTTATACTCTTTGTCACCTCCTGTCTGCCAGTTCCCACACTACTGCTTTGAATGTGCACATTTTGAGTCACATCAGATCTCAATTTATGGCTCAGGCAGGAAGGACTGTCAAGCCTGCATTACCACAAGGCTTTAATTTGCATTGCTTGAAATAGGTGCTACCTACACAACCTCTTCTCCCATAGTGAAGGCTACTGACCATATTTAACATGAATGTCTCTTCTCAGATTGTTTGCCTTCATAGAAGATTTCAGCATAGCTTACATAGCAACCATCTTTTCCATAACAATCTTAAAACATTACAAACTACACAAAATGGGGAAAGTTATTTGAGATCACAAACCAAATACAACTAACAATCCATAAGTACCCAAAGTTCACTAGTTCATTTTTTCTAATACTGTAAAATTATACAAACTACAAAATTATATACTATAAAATTAAAGAAATGGAGCAAAAACAGTAGCAAAACAGTTCAACTTTGTCAATTGATTTTAATGAAAAAATTGAATCAGGGCTTATTGAAACTGATAACTAATTTCACTACATTGCAATAGCATACAGCTGTTCCATCTTTTGCCAACACACAACATTACAGTGCAAACCCAAAAACCAGAAGTAAAGAAAAATCTTTAAAAACTACCATTGACATTACTGCAAGTAAAACACAAAATGAGTCCTAAAACATGATGGTGGCAGAGCATACTAGACATTTAATGAAGCTACTACCATGTATGATCACAACCAGCTGACATCATGCTCTTTTTACTTTTCAGTAAAATTGCAGATTTACATTGAGTCAGGATGGTCTGAGATGTCAGCTCAGTACTTACCATGACAATAATCCTGACCATGAGAGTGTCCATGGCCATGACCATGAGTGTGTCCATGGGAATCCTTATGTTCATGGCTGTGTCCATGATCTCTGTGACTGTGCCCATGGCTGAGACCACCGTTAAACAGAGAATGGCTGTGTTCATGCCCTATGAACAAATATCACCATTAGAGTAAATTTATGAATACATAATTGATGAGTAAAATTACATTTACATTGTTTCTCAGCGACTCAAACCTATTCATCTTTTAGGTCATCTCAAGGTATAGCTTTCAGTAAGATATTTAACACAAGGTGTTTGTCATCTATGGCTCTGGTGTGCAGACATGTTTTTTATAATATATATATAGATACATAAAATATACCAGGTTTGAGAAGTCAAGTGCTTTTATACATTCCCACTTCTGAGACTTGTGCTAGACTTCTAGTACAATTTGAAAAATGTACACTTTATTAGATATAAGCACTTTAAAAATAGGTGTTTTAAGAAAGCAGAAATTGACTGTCATTTGCAGATTAAAAATTCAAGCTTAGATTGCTGCTTAAAGACCAAAGACTATGTTCTTCCACCAGTCTATGTAAATTTATAAGTTAAGCTCAAAGAGAGGCCCACAGGATTTGCAGAATAAACCTCAGAGTGTTTACAATGTGTATTTAAGCAAATAAATTCTGCATTTCAATTCAAAAGACACTAAGTTGAGAAACATCTGAAGCAGAATCATCTCATGCTTAAAATTTGGTTCAAATACTGTTTTTAAATTTTCTAGCCAGAACCTTGCTTAAGCCCAGCTTAAATTTGTCTAAAAAGATGGCCTGCAAATCTCTTTCAATAAGGTGCAGGAGAGTGCATGAACTACAGAAAGCAGTTTCTGGACTCCTAGGTGTTCCAGTTAGTGGATATTAACATGAGAAGTACAACAGTGGCATATCAGGGCTGGTAATAAAACACAGAAATCAATATGCAAGAGGTCACACACATATTTAGGTAGGATTGCCATTAACAAGACATCAAATGCAATACTAGGGCTCTCACTGAGGCATTAGAAGGTCCTGGAACACGGGGAAGAAGAAAGGAAACAGCACTGAAGTTACATCCTACCAGAGCCGTGTGAATGCCCATGACCTCCATGCTGAAAAACAAATATTCCTATCAGATTTACAATGAATCCCAGTATAGAAACAGGAAGAAGTCTCTCATGATGCACATCTGGAGGCTCAAGGGCTCTCTAAAAAAAAGGAAAAACAAACCATAAAGCAAATGTAGAGTTTTACAATCCCTTTACATTATTAAAAGGCACCACAAAACTACTTAGATACAGGAGCATTCTCATATATAACATATATATAGACATAATTTAAAATTACTCAGGACTTCCAGTTTTTGAGATGATACATAGACCAACTCTCAGTGTCTGAAAATAAAGTTCTATTATTAAAGCTGTGAAAGTACAGCAGAATATTCTGAGAGTCTAGCTCAGTTTTATCATAAGATTTGCTTATGCTGTGGGATGTGGCTCAACACCATCTGAAAGCATTCAGGTTTGATGCAGTATGTAGATTGCTTAAGTCACCTATAAGACTTCTAAGAGTCTAGAATGCCATTTCTTCCTTTCTCCTTAGAAAGGTGAGGCAACGAGGGGAATGAAATGAAGACTCAGAACAAATTATGACATTTTTTAAAAACTCTCCAATCTAGATTGATTTTTTTCAATTATTTTTTACCCTACTTCCTCTAGACTATTTTTCTCAATGAGACATTATAGACGAAATAAAATTTGCATCTGAAGATAAGTGTTGATGAGTGTAAATTACTACTGGCAGAGGAGAAAAACATTCACCATCTCTCCACAAGGATCAAAGGTACAGGCAGTAAATAGCAAGATAATAGAATGTTTAGCACAGTAAAATTTTAAAGTAACTGAGAGAAAGAGAGTTACCATCACAAGCAAAGAGAATAGTTAGCATGGGAGCTTAGATTAGCAAGAAGAGAAAGATGTTTCAGCATTACCCTTGACCCTGTCACAGTTTTTAATTTTTCTAGTAAGTTTTGCTCCTGTTTTTAGATTTGAAATTTTCCCAAGCTTTTAGGCAATTTCAGCCCAGTTTTAACTGGTTTTGAAGTATTTACAAGCCTATCAATGTAGAAAAAACTCTTCCCAATTCTCTGTTAATAAAAGAAAAACTCAATAGACTTACTATTAAGTTTGTCTAAATAAATGTATAGTGTATTTCCTATTAAAAAGCAAAAGCTTTAATTCAAACTGATTACAAATAGTTATCAGTTTTACTCTTAATCCTTGATGTTGTGCTTAATATCTAAATTTCAATCTTGCAATTTTTACCTTAACCATCATGTTAAAAATAAATGCAAGAAAAGAGCCCTTGTAAATGTTTAAGCTATTGCTACTTGCCATTTATATCAAACTTCAAGATTTGGAGAACAGTGTTCTTTCTTTAACAAGCTAGTCAAACTTCTCAGCATTTTGCTTATTATTAACTTCTCTCCTTTGAATGACTAGTTTAGGCCTTTCTTTCTTAGCCTCATGTGTTCTCTAACAATGAGAAGTGAAGATCTCACCAAGACATCCTTAACTGACTGAAAAAAAGGACAGGCTCCATCTCACAGAATCTTTACACATAAACAAAATACACTATTGCAGAAGCCAGTACAGATAAACTGAAAAAGCTGGGTTTCTCTGTCATTAAACAGCAATTTCAGATAAGCCTATTCTCTGTTCAAATCAGACTTCTAATCAATTATGAACATAATTTAAATGTTCAATTCATTAATTTCAATAATTTATTCCTATTAAAACCAGAAATGTTTATCCATATTAATTATAGAATGTAATACAGTAATTGATTTCATAACATACCTCCACACCTTCAGAAAAAATGAAGAACGCTGTAAAGATGAGGAATAAGCCATTTACAAAACCAGCAAGTACTTCTGCTCGAACATAACTGCAAGAAACAAAAAAAAAAAGTAATAGCACTTTTATTTAAATATTGAAAATTAGAACTTAAGAGACTGAAGTGCAATCTTCTAGTTCTCAAGCAGTTATATTGCACCAAATTTGCTAAATGGAAGATGACATATAAATTACAGATTAATATATAAAACTGACCATGTTGTACTTGGACAGAAACTACCTGATGCAGATCAGCCATTCTCTGATCTAGATGAAAGAAATTTTTCAGTATGTCAAAATCTTTCCATTTAAAATTATGTCCACCCAAAGTTATGATATAAATATAATTTTGAAGCCACAAACTAAGGTAAGCACACAAAACCTAATCAAAGGTTTTCTGGTGTTATGTTCAATATCAAAGCGACATGTATTAATTTGCTTCCCTCTAGAAGGTGGATTTTCAGTAAAAGTTTTAAGTAGAAATTAATTATTTCAAACATCAAATTTTGACAATAACAAACTGCCAGGTTAGAATAATTAGTAATTTCAGTGTGGCAAACACCAGACTTTAATAAAGTGTGGCTGTTCTCTGATAAATGGAACACCAGCTGTTTAAATGCTCAGCAGTAATTAATACAGAACATGCTTTCACTGCAATTATTTCATGATACAATTCTCTCTAAATTGATTTCTATGCACACTGGGGTCTCCAGCTATATTAAACTGTGCTTTAAGTTTCAAACTATATGATTCACAATTAAGCAAGGCAGCTGAAGCGAAACGCTGATAGGTCAATAATGCTATGGGGAATGCCCATGTTGTTCGCTGTTTAGGTCATTTGCTGTTAATCAGTATTAGCAATTAATAATATTGCACCACCGGTATTGTTTTACAGGGCACAGCTGCCATGTTCAGTGGAAACAAGCGCCTGCCAAACGCCAGCTGCAGCAGATAAATCCACCAAGGGCAGTCTGGGATGACACACCTCAGCCCTGAGGATCTGTGTAAAGGGCAGTCACAGCTCCCAAATCCTGCTGCTTCCAAGAATCATGCCTTGTAATCTCCAATGCAGCATCACTGAGACTTGGCTCCTTTCAGTTGTAACTTTCTGTTCCGAAGGAGGAGTGGGACACCAGCAGTCTGGGAATCCCTGTAATGCTCCTCACTGCACTGTGAGGACAAACCCAGGATGTGGCTGCTTGCTCTCCACTGGTGTCATTAATGCACGGCAATCCAGGGCAACTTTCTGCTCTCTAACTTGTTTCCATTAGTATGATCAGAGAGAATTTGGAAGTGATAAACCTTCTTCCCAAAAGCAATGCCTTCATATTTTTATTATTTCTATTAACTTAGATGTTTACACAGCTCACCTTAAAGAAAATCTCACTTTCAACATAGTTTTTCCATGTTCTACAAAAAGCTTCTGTTTGTAAGTAAAAAATAACTACCTAAGCATTTGCTATAGTACATTAAGGTAACAGCCTGAAGTTTCTTACCCATATGAGAAAGCATCGTTTGACCTCCATTTTGAAATAACTGAAGCTGCTAATCCAGCCAAGAGAGCAGTACAGTCAAAAAACATATGAAAAGAATCTGATATCAGACCTAAACTGAAAGAGAACAGGAAAAAACTGTTATATTCCATATGCTACATGTTGAGTATGAAAAAAAAGCCCCACAGACATTAATCTTTTACACACTAGCAGAATACACTGTTTCTAAGCTTCAGGCATTTTTTTGCTAGCACAGAGGAGCAATCCACACTTCATCACCAACACAAGTATGATGCCAAAACTGCTTTTGTCAGCTTTAGAGAAGGCACTTTGGAAAAGTGCTTAGCAAAAAAAATCCTCCTAGCATATGATTTTGGTGATAGTGAAAGGAGAAACCAAAATCCCTGGACTAGATGTACCCACAGCCACATCTCTCATCAACATAATTCAACTTTAAATCTTTGCCTTAGCAGTGGCAAGGCACTAACTAGGAGATACACACCTCTGAGATCTAGAGGCTGAAGAATCAGACTGAGAGACCACATCTTACATGGCTTATTTCAAAGACCAATACACAACTGTTTGTCAGTCTTGATTGAGAAACACAGTTAAAGTGAACCAGCATGCTAAGAGGTTCAAAGCATCATGAGCTAGCCAGTCAGTATAACTCATATCAGTTTGTAGGCTGTAGGTAAACTGGGGTTAACACCACACACAAGCACTGCCAAAGTTTACCAAATTACTCGTGAACAGGTTCTGTAAGTCTGCAGCAAAGTACATGCATCGAAACAAAAAAACAATGCTTCATATTTTAAAAGACATTTGATAGAGAGGTACTGTTGAGCAATTGTTAATCAATAGTCCCAAAAGTTCCATTTTCTCAGTCCTTTGGTTATCTAAGAATAATTACACGTACAACTCAATTTCTGGAAACTGAAGCACAAGAAGCAATTAGTGGGTTAACAAGTTCTAGAGGATAGACACATATTCACATTGAAGTCAAATACAAAGTTTCATTAGCCAAAGTTCCAACCACTTCACAGTACAAAGCCAAACCATTTCAGCCTCACAGAAAACAATTACAAGATTAATCTCAAGTGTTTCAGGTGAAACAGTCAATAGAGGAAGAAGTAGGTTTGAAGGAGAGGCAAGATCAAGTGTCTTGCTCTATTTATTTATATATACACACAACTATAACATTTAAGACAGAGGGATGACAGCATGGTATATTGTCCTAAAGTGCTGTAGCCACCAAAGCAGGAGAGATGAGGCTGTTCTAAACAAACTTTAAAACAAGACCCACAGGCTAGATGCCTATGAAGCAGCAAAATAGAATTGGCTGTAGAATTCTTGAAGGGTTTTGGTGACATCTTCCTCCTCCCCAAAATCAGGTGACATCTTTAGGGAAACAGCTCATTTTAGGTTTGGTTCTGAGCACTTGGGAAGATCCAGTGAGGTAAAAAACCCACCACAAAGCACATCAAATATTCAGGTAGAAGGTAATTAGTGACAGTAACCCTAAGTTGTACTGACTGTGAAATGGAAGGAATAAGCATTGCTAAGCAGAGAGAGCTACTGCTTTCTGAGGTGATACGGTTTTGGTGGTTTTTTGTTCTTTTTTTTTTTTTTTTAATAGAACCTTCTGGGAAAAAGACTTTTATAAGGACTGCTGCTCTAACTAAAAACCCATACAAGTTCTAGAACCAGAAATAATGCAAGAAGTTACCATGACACTGTGCTCACACCTGCAAATCTCACTAAGGCAAGACTTACCTTAAGTGCAACACCAATACAGCTGTGCTGCTTTCAAGACCTAAGCTAACAATTCCAGGTGGCCAGAGGCACGTGGATTTATCAGCAGGGGTCAGCAGACTGCATCTGCAATGCAATTCACCTCGTAGCATAACCACGCTCCGTATCATAGGTACAGCTACAAGTCATTGAGCTGCACTAATGGCAGGAAGCCTGGTAAGAGACCAATCTCATTTCATCTGAGGCTTGTTAAAGTGACCTGTAAAGTAACAAGACCTTAGAAAAAATGGGTGCAAAGTGATTACTAAAGCGATGAAATGATTCAGTCAACGACTGCCAATACAGTGAACCACCAGTAAGATGGGATGCATGCAAGAACTCCCGTAGAACCAAACTCATCATGCAAAATATAAACTAGTAGAAACCCTGTACTCAAACACACTTTGTCTAAATAAAGACGCTTCCGCAGCTGACTTAGTTTAACTTCAAATTAAACGAATGTGCACATGTAGCAAATTTCAACCTTAAACAAGCAAACAAGCTCTCAGCCAGCAAACTCGTGACCAGTGACAGAACTCTAGGAAACTGCATGAAGCTGAGTTGGGCGAGGTTTAGATTAGACATTAGGAAAAGATGTTTCACCCAGAGGGTGGCTGAGCACAGGAACAGGCTCCCCAGGGAAGCAGTCACATCACCAAGCCTGACAGAGTTCAAGAAGCATTTGGACAACACTCTTTTCTGAGTTCAGAAAACAACCTATTTGGCAAACAGAAGCTCAGGAGAATTTCTCATGCAAGGAACAACAGAACTGTGTCTTCAAAATGACAAAATTATTCTCCTTATAGGACTCCTTGTTTGCTTGTTATGTGTTCGCTCTTCCAAGCCATGACCTGTCTGCTTTGACTGAAGACATTCCTCATCATATTCTCTGCTCCCCCTCTCTACTAAAGAGGTACTTGCCCTGTTTTGCTCTAGACCAAAATCTAGACTTAGAGATACCCAAAACGAGTGACTTGAAATACAAACAAAAGGTTCAGTTAATGGCTATTCAGTAAATCCTAATTCTTAATCTCAAGTATGAACAAAAATAAGTGTCTTCTGAATTCCAATATGCCATACTCTTCAGTGACAAATTTCTATGAGTGTCATTAAAGTTTCTCAGTTTAGTTACCTCATATACAGGACTTTTTAAGGTTACACTACCAAAAAAAATTGTTATGTTTAAAAGACAGACATCAGAACAAAGTCACATGAACACAGATCTCTTTATATCAGACCAGTTAAGAAAAATATTTACATCTGCTGAGTTATTAGAAAAAAAAATCCATACTCAAATAGACAGACTATGCATTCAACAACCCTCAAACAACTGCAAGGTGAATCAGCATCAAAGCCAAAACCAAACACATTCAAAATGGTCTGGGTGCGGCCAAGATAGTCTGTGCCCATGACAGCACTGCATGCTCTCTGGTGCACAGTAGCAATTACTGTAATCAGAGTTGAGTATTTCATAGTCATTTGAGAAATTCAGAACAACATTGCAAATATTAGGATGTAACCATTTCCAAATCCACACCACTGCATTCACTCAGGACTTTTAAGAGGTCCGGTAATTTATGTCCATAGTACAGCTTTTGGTAAGGAGGACACTGCTTGACTTAAATGACATTTCCATGCCAGTCCACTCTGAACTGAACTATCATCATAAAACAACTACTCTATTGCCAATGAAGCATGACAGAAATACTAGCACCATTGCCCATTCTCTACCTTTATACACCAGTAGTGAAGTTATTCTGCATTCGCTACAGCTCTTTCAGTAGCAATTTAGTCAAGTCTCCTCCATTTTTTTCACTCCTGTGAATTTTTGTGCTATGTAAAGTATCACTCAGCTATACAAGGATGTGTCAAATCCTGTTTCTCCCTCGAGACAAGGATGTTTAGGCAGCATATCCAGGTATCAACCTACGGATGCAGCCACACTCCCCAACAGAGGATCTCTGTGGGAAACAGCAGCCACAGCCCCCGAGTCCCGTAAATCGGGCCAAGGCCGGGCTTCCTCCTCAGCAAAGCACCGAGCACAACAACCACTCCGACCAGCATCCCTCCGCAGCGCGCCGAGTCGCGCCCCCCGCCCGAGCGCCTCCGCCGCGCCGCCGGGACCCGGCAGAGGGGACGGAGGCGCCGGTCGCTGCCCACGAGAGTGGTCCCGGTCGGGGGAAACTCTCCAGCGGCCACCACGGTTCTGCCGAGCGGCCCCACCGGACGGCGGGCGGGAGGCCCGGCCCTGCCGAGAGGAGACGTGGCACTGGCCGGGCGGGACGCGCCGCTTCCTGCGCGCCGCAGCCGCGCTCGCCCCGCCGCGCCCCCGCCCCGGTTACCTGTTACTCCAGATGCCGTAGAGCAGCTCCACGAAGGCGAAGGAGAGGTTGAGACAGAGGAAGGAGAAGAGGTTGCGGGAAGTCTTGTCCGCCAGGATAGACCTGCGCACAGAGCACACCGCGGTCACCGGCCGCCGGTACGGCGCCAGGAGACCGGAGCCGCTCGGCGGGCGGCCCGGGCGCCTCGGAACCAGCCAGCACAGCCCCTCCACGGGGGCTCGGCCGCGGCGCCGGCAGCGCCCAGCCTGACCGGCCATGGGCCACTCACCTGAACCAGCCCGACACCTTCCTGAGCAGGTTGAGCCTGGGCGGCTTGTACTCATCGTCTTTGACGGAGAGGGGCAGCATCTTTCCGGCGGCGGGGCCGCGGCGCGCCGGACCGGCAGGACGGGCAGGCGGGATGGGAGCGCTGCCCGGCCGGCCCACACGCCGCTTCCGGCCGCCACCGCGCCTGCGCCGCCGGGCACGGGGCTGAGGGGGCGCGCCGGGGGCCGGGCCGGGGCTGCGGGAGCTGCCCGGGCTCGGGACTGCGCCGCCCGCTAAAGAAACACAGCACGCCCCAAACGTGAACTCTTCTCCGTCCCGTGCCAGCCGCTCGCTCGCGTCCCGCTTGTGATGCCGGCTGCTCCCAGTGCAGCTGTTGTGGTAGCGCTCGGCACGGGGCGGCGGAGCAGCGCGCTCGGCGTGTGACAGCCGGAGCCGCCGGAGCGCTCCGCCCGCCGCGGCACCCGGACTACAGCCCGGAGCCTGCCGGGAGGAAGCGCGGGGACGCACCGCAGGAAGCGGCACAGCGGCGCCACCGCAGCGCTGCCGCGGTCCCGCACGGCCGCCCCTGAGTCACCGGAGCGGCTGGTGCGGGGCCGAGCGGCGGGGCTGGGCCGGTACCTCCTCCGCACTGCCCTGCCCTGCTGCCGGTGACCCCTGGGGAGCACAGCCCGGCCGGAGGAAGCGGCGACAGCGGCGGCTGCGGAACGTGAGCGAAGCTGTGGGCGAGGGGCGCCGAGCGGGACGGGCGGTGCTGCACCAGCTGCTGCGGGGTGCTGTTAGAGGTGCTGCCCGCCAAGGGAGGGGACCCCGTTCGAGAACTCTTGTTCTTGGAACGAGGATTAAAAAACTGGTCTTTGATGTAGCGATTTTATTTTCGTCAATTTTGCGTTCTCTGCAAGTATTGCATACTTTTAAAAAAGAGGTCAATCTAGTATTGAAATTTCATAACTTAATTGGCAAAACTTATCTGCATTTGCTTGTTAGAAAGTGCCGTGATACTAATTTTAAAACATCTAAATAGGCGTTTATTTTGAGAATACATCGTAATATCATCATTGCCTATCACTACACCTATTGTAACCACTAGAAGGTATGGCAAGCAAAGTCTCATAAACAGCAAACAGTATTTATATTTTCGTTTCAAATATGCTTTTTAAGTTTAATTAATCATTACAATAGCACTGGTATGTGTTGCAAATAGGTTGCAAACTGCTGAAAGAGGATCTGAGGTTCACTTCTTCAAAAGCACATTTGATAGGGAATATAGAGGACCTCATAAATGCTGTGCTGCTACTGCTGCTAATAATTTTTAGAAGTCGGGCACGATTGTTTGTTCCCTATAAAATGAACCAGAACAAGCAGTTAGCTTCTGGAAATAGTTTCAGTGACCTCTTGTCATAGTAAGATTTGATCTCAGATTTGGGGAGACCAGTATATGTGGACATAGTCAGATTGGTATATGCACAAATAACAAATCTAGTTTTAAGAAGCAAATTTACATAGCCCGAACAAATTACTCTCATGGAATTTCACAGAGGTTCAATTATTCAATAAATTCAATAAATTCTTGTGCTCTAAACTTTCACAGTACCATTATCAAATCAAAATTAACGACTCTGGTTGTTTGGTGAGTTTTAAAGGAACAAAATTCTCTCCAACAACCTAGGAGCACAGCTTTCCTACACTGCTGTCCTGAGTCTTGTATATCCTTCTTTTATGTGCTTGCACTCATATCTTCCAAGCTGCCAAACCTCATGGGAAGACCAAATGCTGTGTCTTAAACCTCTGATACAACTGATAATCTTAGTGAGAGTGTCAAGGGTATGACCCAGAAAATAAAATATTGGGATAAAATTTTATTTGCCTGACTGGTAGCCAAATATATATTTCAGTCGTGCCTAATGAGCAAAGGAATACCTGTCAGGTTCTGAAGACTTACTTATGTCTCCATAGCTGAACTTAGGGATGGAACACACAGACATTGCACTGGCAGAAAGCAGCAATTTTACAAGCAGAGAAACAGGCTGTTCTTTTCTTTTTAACCATCTGGTGTAATGTCTTCTTTCAGGAGCATTCATTGAAAGGCAGAGATAATTATTCAACTGAGCATTAGGAACAGGAATGGGATAATTGCCATGAATCCATATATCAGTCAATAACAGGAGGACCTTTTACTTGTAAAAGAATGTTGGGTAGCATGTGGATAACTGTTGATCTCCAGTTATAGAATGCCTTTCATTTCCAGCAGATTCAAAGATCACAAACACTTGCCCTGTAAAAAGAAGCGAGGAAAACAATCCTATGTGGCAACAATGAGGTAAGTAGCGAGGCATTTTAGATTAAAATAATTTACATTCATATTTTCAAGCATGTTATTTGCACTTTGGAAAGAAATTATTCAAAATTCTGTGAAAAAAAAAAAACCCCATAGAGATACGCTCTCAAAAATTGTACTTGTTTGGTTGTCCTGGATCACTGAATTTGACCAGAATTCCCTGCTGAAAACCTAGAAATTACTCACAGGGTAGCATGAATAATATGCATACATGAGTAATGGTATTAAAAGAAAATGTATAGATGAGTTAGTAGCAAGCTTAGAATGTTCATCTTCTATTCAGTTTGCACTAATATTGCAAGGTAAGAGGGAGTAAAGGAAAACTGTAGTGCAACAAAGACAAGTGCACCTAGATTGGGGCAGCCCTGGATGTACAGACAGACTGGGAACAAGAGGCTGGAGAGCAGTGCCACGGAAAGGGACATGGGGGTCCTGGTCAATGGCAAGTTGGACACGAGTCAGCAGTGCCCTGGCAGCCAGGAGGGACATCCTGGGGGCACCAGGCACAGCATCACAGCTGGGCAAGGGAGGGGATTGTCCTGCTGATGCAGCCTCACCTCTTGGTTGTTCTGTGCATTTTTATAAGAATACAGCATAAGAAGGATATAAAGCTTTTAGAGAGAGTCCAAATGCCCTCAGGCACATGGTGGAATTTTGGGGCCTTTCCTGTGCAGAGCCAGGAGTTGGACTTCAATGATCCTCATGAGTCCCTTCCAACTCAGGATATCCTATCACTGTGTGAAGCACATCTGAGGGGCTATCTTTTTAGAAGCTGCTTTATAAGAGCTTCTGTTTAGTTCCAAGATCATGAGGATGCAGAAACCTCTGCCTTAAACTAAATCTACACTCACAATTAGCTGATAGGTAGCACCTAACATCTGGCATTGCCTATTTCTCACAAGTTCTAGATGTATCAATTCAGCTGTTGCTGAGATCATTGCATTCCTGTATTACTCATTTTGGAATGTTTCTTTTGCTCCATCTGTGTGCTATTACCTTAGTATGATCAGCATCGCATTTTCTGTACTGATTACTATTATCAAGCAGCATTATCAAGCATTATACAAACTACTGACAAAACATACAGCTAATCAGTTATAAAAATTGCTCCATGTGGTGCCAGAGCTTTGGAGAAGGCACCTTCTCTCCTTTTTGCTTCCCAGTTAAGGTAGAGCTCCTGCAATGCTGAAAACATTGAATCTCTGTACAAATTTGCTTTCTACTTTCAGCTGGATAGACATGGTGAGGTATGTAAATGTTCAATCAAAAATGTAGTACTAAGAAAATAGGAAAAAATGAACACTTTAAAAGAACTACTCTAGATTTATTTTCACAAAACAATGAAACCCAAAGTTAACCAAAAAGAGTGAAAAGCAAGTAAACATAGAACCCGGGTAACAGAAACACCTGTCTTGATAGTTGAAAGTAATTTGCCAAAGTGCTAAAGTCCTTAGTTACTTACTTTAATGAAAATGTACTTAATATTTTGGGAGTTTTGATCAAGAGAGAAAACTTTACACGTGTGTAATGACTTCCTTTCCTGTTACTTGTTTTAAAGGTGTTTTCACTTCTGTAAGCTTCCAGGAAGAGTCATGGGAATCCGCCTACTGCGCTTCACCTCTGTGGTGATCATCGTCTTGCTTCTTGTGGCAGGTGCTTTAACAGCTTTGCTTCCCACTATCAAAGATGACAAATTGCCCAACTCACGAAGGGAACCAAAAATCCAGAGTCAGTCTGCCTTGGATTCATTCACTCTTATTATGCAGACATACAATAGAACTGACTTACTGCTAAAGCTTTTAAATCATTATCAAGCAATCCCCCACCTACATAAAGTAATTGTTGTGTGGAACAACATTGGTGAGAAGACACCAGAGGAAATGTGGAATTCCTTGGGGCCTCATCCTGTCCCTGTTGTCTTTAAAGTTCAACCTGTAAATCGTATGAGAAACAGACTGCAGACTTTCCCTGACCTGGAAACAAAAGGTAATCAGCAGTTCATATCGCTATTACTAATATTATTTTCATGCTTGAAATCTGAATGCTAAAAGAGAGATGGTTGAGTTATACTGTGAATCAATCAATGGATCTTTTGGACCACTTCATAAAGTGTGGGTAGTATAGAGGAACCCTGTGTTATGATATCAGGTGCATACCACCACCAGGCTGTCAGTGAAGAGTAAAGGAAAGAAAAATGTCAAATGCATTTCAAGGTCTTTTGCAACAGTTCTCCATTTCCTTTGTGAGGCAGACATAGGTAGTTCAGCTTCTCTTCCTTCTGTAGCATAAACTGAAATTCAAAATGTATGTTATTTGTTGATTGTCTGCACTAATCTGGACTTAAGTCATCTGGTAAAGACTTGATTTAGTCCATTCCTCTTAAAACTAAGTTCTCAAACATATTCTGCTCTTCTGAGAAACTTCCCTCCCCAGCTGTCAGCTTTCTATCTCGAATTACGCACCCTTTTATTTAAGAGTACTTTCC